TCAAAAAATTAAAAAACAAAGACAACGACGGCTTCTTTAGTACCATGGTGTTGAGAAAAATGACACATAAAGATAGGCAATGTACTCTCTAGCAGGAATAAAGGAAATGCACCAACTATGACGAAAGAAGGCGATGGAACGAAGGATGCTTGGTGTATCGCTTTGAAATCATGCAGAAAATGAGTGGTTTAGAATAGGGTAGCCGGAAGTTATTAAAATTAGCTCATTAAGCTATGTCGCTCGCTTTGCTCACAAATGATGATCGTTGCACATCGATGAGACAGAAGATGACCACACGAATCACTTTCGAATAATCTATACGTTATATTTAACGGATATCACGGGTGGCAAATGCAAGCAAAGGAAAGGCAAAGTTGTGCCCTCCGAAATTTTGTTACACGGCAACATTCCAGATGGCTGCAGCAATATCTCTTCGGTCCGCTACACATGTTTAGAGTAAATATGCTCTCAGAGGGAATCCCATTTTTGCAAAATGTGTTCTAGCTTTGAAATAGCAGAATATTAAGTTTTTAAAAATCTAGGATGGCCTACAAGCCGTGGTATACTGCTCATTTTGTTCCTCACACAGTGAGGAGTATGCAGTCGCTTGACAATAAAAGTAGCAAGAAAATCCAAATTTTACTTTTGCTAGCTTTTTTGCGTGTGACTGCAAAAAAAGAAAAGGGTTGGTTTGGTTTCTGCACTCGGTATTCGATCTGCTTAGCAAAAACAGCCCCGGCACCTGAACATCCGTATTAAAATCACTTAGGCAGTGAAAAACTTGATTCACCGCAAGACCCCCATCCAAAAAATCGGCTAGTCCAAATTGCCTTTTTAAGACTGCAAGAAATCATCTGGAGCTCTCGATGATGAATGCGTCAATTTGGATTGTGAATGAACAGCTGTAAAACGCGGAAAAGTTGCCAGCTGTTTCGACGGAACGAAAGGGGCTACGATGAAACGACAGCTGATCAAATTATTTTAATTTGCCATCTTTTAGCTGCGACTACTACTGCATTGCTTTCACACTTCCCTAATGCCAAAAATAAGAATTACTCAATAAATCATACTTGGCACACTGAATGACTTCGTCCTGTCGAACTGATACACGCTGATTCAGGCACAGTGTGCAAATCAGCTGCCCCTAAAACGAAAAATTAGGATTATAACTTACAGGAGCATGCCACTGAGGTGAAGTGCAATAGACAGACGACGCCGGCTCTTGTGCTTTTGCGAGCAGTTGCGATCCTGTACTCCGAAACGTGTAAAATACAGTAGCAGGGCGGCCTTTTTCAAACATTTGGCTACAAATTTCCGTCAACTCTTTAGCAGTCGAAATTTCGAATTCTCAGAGCTTCCAATCCCTTCCCTCTGTTTCGCTCGAATATTTTCCAAACAAACATAGAGTTTAGAGTTTTCAACACTCCTTCCTTCTCCCTTCCTCACCCAATTTCACAAATTAAACTTCTGCAGTTTCGAATTTTTGATTTACCTCATTCTAAAACTGCAAGAAAAAAAGTAACCTTAAATGGAACAAAAAATAGGCTGTAGTCATAAGCTTAGAAACTGATTTCAAGGCAATTAAATTCAGAGGACTGAACTTTTTCTTTTGTGCAATTGTAGCACACTTCCTATCGCCATCCAAACTTTCAGCCAAATTTTAGACTTAGGTAAAGGTACAACACACAAGATAGTTTAGGTAACAGCTGTTTTACTGTACAAAAGTCTGCTCGGTACCCCTTGTCGCCCCTCCCCCCTCACCTTCCCGCAGAAGCCTTGTTAGTCTCAGTTTTGTGCCTATTTGTGAGAACGGGGAAAGGGGGAAGGGGGAAGGAATGCAGTGAGATCGAGGGGGAGGAAGGGGGCGAGGTAGCGCGACGACTGAAGGGTGGGCCGGGAGCTGGCCAAAGGGGGCTATGGTGACGAAGAGTGGAGGAAAGGTGAAAATCGCTCCCCTCCTCCCGCCCAATACAGCGCCCTGGATGCAGCTAACAGAAGTGTATTGTATGTTCTGACAAACCCATCGGTGGTTTTTCCAATCTGAGGGAGTGCTTAAGAAACAAGCTGAAAGGATATGGGTCCTAAGATGATAGACCAGCATTAATGCTGTAAGCGAATACTTGCGGGCAGACATTTGCAGCTGTCAAAGGACATTCTGTTCAGACCCTGCTGGTCGTGATGCCACAACAACACATCGATTTTATAATGATTAAATATGGCATACTCTTGAAAGAAATCCAGATCTCATTTGAATTCTACTACAACAACAGGCCTGGATTTATGAAAATTTAAACTGAATCTCATCGAGAGGAGTAAAAAATAAAACGATTTTTGGACACGCGAAAAAGTACCGGCTCGATGTTACATCCGTTTGTATTTGTCGAATTCCCTTCCAAATTCTTGTCCTAAAAAACGGCCCAGTAGTTTTTTTTTATTGACGATGATGCAGTATAATCAAATATTAGTTAGAACTTCAGATTATTCACAGTTGTCAAAATAAGAAACAGAATCGAGGAAAAACAATTTCTCATCTTTGATAGCGGAGAAAAGGGAAAGCAAAGATCCCCTATTACTGGAATTACGAATCAGCAATGATGAGAATTTCTGAACTGATAACTGGATTAGGTACTTCATGCCTCACTGAATAGCTAATGCATACACTTTCGAATGGAACAGCTTTTTTGGCTGTCACATGTTACTTATTTTGTGAGCACCAAACGTTCTCCTAAATAACACATGTTTACGTATCAAGTATTTCAACATAGGTTTACGCGTCAAGCAGTTCTTCAACTTCCGCTTTTTTAAAGGAAGGAAGGAAAAAGAGAGATGTGGTGCATTTCTAGAAACAATCAATTCTAAATTACATATCTCAAGAAGCATTTCTTTTCGGATTCATGTGCCCCGAGAAGACATATTTGTTCTTGAATATCCACATTTTCGGATAATGCTAACTCTAGACGCCGAACAAATGCCAAATGCCACAGTAAGCTGCCTTTCCCTTACTTTATCACTCTAATAAAAGTTTTTATCATACTGCAAAAAATTAAGAGAAAAAAGGACCTTTTTCGTAGCTGCTTCATTTTTGGATTCCGTCTTAGCAGAACGTGACGATTTGGTTTCGACAACGTTCTCAGAGTTACTACCACCAGAGCTAACGCTTGCTGAATCCGATTCCGATGATTCATCGCTAGGCTGGGACGCATTGCTCGAATCATCGCCCACTTGAAAAAATAAGGTAAAAAAAAGAGAAACAAATATTGACTTCAATTAATCACACAGATGAAACATGAAGGTCCTAATAATGAAGCAGGCTCTCTGGTGCAAGGCGTGAGAACAGTCTACGAAAATCCAGCCGAACCGCAATAATGTTATACATTTTGTTAAAGCCTTTGCTGAACCGCTATGCATCCAACGATGGACAATCGGCAAACACAGCAAGTGTTTATACGAGGAGTGAAGCCAAGGTCAACATCTGTTGTGTTGTAGCACAGCTTCTTCTCGCCCTCTCAGGCAATCTAGGCATGGGTGTTACACAAATTTATTTGATTTTATTTATTTCTTTTATCAACACCACAACCGTCGTACTGACGAGGTCCAGTTAGGTGCTAAATAGGAACGTCATGAATTTATGGGCCGAAACATTCCTGTTCATCCTATTTTTTGGTATGATTTTATTTGTATATATACATATATATATGTTTATATATATATACATATATATATATCAAAATCAATACTTATACGATTTGGCTAAAGCAAAATATATAATTACTTCTACACTCCAAGTTCCCTACATAAGCGGCTTTCGTCGGCTGACTGCAGAA